TGTGTTATCCTGTGTATCCATGTACATTCTGTGTTATCCTGTGTATCCTTGTACATTCTGTGTTATCCTGTGTATCCATGTACATTCTGTGTTATCCTGTGTATCCATGTACATTCTGTGTTATCCTGTGTATCCTTGTACATTCTGTGTTATCCTGTGTATCCATGTACATTAGGGAGTTTACAGGCATATTTTTAGAGGGTTGTTTAGAGGCAAGAAAAAAAAAAACCCCTTCAGAACTACATTTTTGAGAAGAGCTTTCAGGCAGAAAAAAAAACGTTAAGGCGATAGTAAACTGCCAGGGCAAAAAAACAAACAAACAATGGGCCCCTGCAGGTTTAGGTTATAATGTACTAGTATGCACCACATACTAGTACATAATGGCAGACTTACCTTTTAATCCAGTTCCCCATGGAGCTCTCCAGTGCAGCACTGTCACGGCTCCACGTTGCTGCCACCTTCACCTGGTCTTCCTTTCGGGTTCGTGGGCTCTGGCCTATTGAATGGCTGGAGCCGCAATGATGTCACTCGGCTGTGGCAGGGGCTCCGAAGGTCTAGCATGGCTATGTCATTTCTTCAGAGTACGTGCGCCAGTGACGTCACCGGCTGCACGCTGTGTAAATATCTCATAAACAGTGCAAGTGCCTTATTATAGGCTTACCTGTAGGTACAACTTAAAAGACTTTACTACCACTTTCACTCTCATAAATGTGCCTAAAAGTGGCATTTTCAAGTTACATAGTTAATTTGGCTGAAAAAAAGACAAAAGCCCATCCAGTTCAACCATTTAAAAAAAAAAAAAAAAAAGTTATAATCCTACACCCAAAGTTGATTCAGAGGAAGGCAAAAAAACCCAGCAAATCATGATCCAATTTGCTCCTGCAGGGGAAAAAAAATTCCTTCCAGATCCCCCGAGAGGCAATTGGACATTCCCTGGATCAACTTTACCTCTAAATGTTAGTATCCAGTTATATTCTGTGTATTCAAGAAAGAATCCAGGCATTTTTTAAAGCAATCCACTAAGCTGGCCAGAACCAACTCTTGAGGGAGTATATTCCACATTTTCACAGCTCTCACTGTGAAGAAACCTTTCTGTGTTTGGAGATTACATTTCTTTTCCTCCAGACGTAAAGAGTGCCCCCTTGTCCTCTGTGATGACCTCAGGGTGAATAACTCTACACCTAGTTCACTATATGAACAACTGATGTATTTATACATTTTGATCATATCCCCCTTAATCTCCTCTTCTGAAGAGAGAATAAATTGTTTGTCTAATCCTTCCTCATAGCTGAGCTCCTCCATGCCTCATATCAGTTTAGTTGCCCTTCTCTGTACTTTCTCCAGTTCCCCAATGTTCTTTTTGTGAATTGGTGCCCAAAACTGAACTGCATATTCCAGATGAGGTATTACTAATTATTTGTACAGGGGTAAAATTATATCTCTCTGTCTGGAGTCTATACCTCTTTTAATACAAGGATTTTACTCGCTTTAGAAACCACAGCTTGGCATTTCATGCCATTATTAAGCTTGTAATCTACCAGAATTCCCAGATCCTTCTCCACCATTGATTCCCCCAGTTGTACCCCCCCCCCCCCTATTATGTATGATGCATGCATATTCGTAGCCCCCAAGTTCATAACCTTACATTTATCAACATTAAACCTCATTTGCCACATAGTTGCCCAATTAAACAGTGCATTGAGGCCGGCTTGTAAGTTGGAGACATCCTGTAAGGACATTATTCCACTGCACAGCTTGCTGTCATCTGCAAAGACTGAAATGGGATTTATAATCCCAGACCCTATATCGTTTATAATTATATTAAAAAGTAAGGGTCCCAACACTGAAACTTGGGGTACACCACTGACAACCCTAGACCATTCAGAGTATGAATCATTAACCACTACTCTATGAATACGATCTTTTAGCCAGTTTTCTATCAATTTACATACGGATTCTTCTAAGCCTGTAGACTTTACCTTACACATTAGCCGTGTGTGGGGAACGCTTTTGCAAAATCCAAGTATACCACGTCCACTGCCACCCCTCTGTCCAAGGTTTTACTCACCTCCTCATAAAAAGAAATAAGATTTGTTTGACAACTTCTGTCTTTCATGATCCATGCTGTCTACTGCTTAAAATATTTATTTCCAGCAAGAACTCATCTATGTGGTCTTTTATTAAACTCTCCAGTATCTTCCCAACTATAGAAGTTAAACTAACAGGTCTATAATTACTTGGTAAAGACTTTGACCCCTTTTTAAATATTGGTGCCACATTGGCCTTACGCCAATCCAGTGGTACTATGCCAGTCATTAAAGAGTCCCTAAAAATTAGAAACAATGGCTTTGAAATGACAGATCTCAGTTCTTTAAAGACCTGTGGGTGTATGCCATCCAGTCCAGGTGCTTTATTCACCTTTATTCTGTCTAAATATTTTTGGATCATAACAATTGTGAACCAATGTGGATCATCTGGACATCAGCTCCCCTATGCTCCTTTGTATACACAGATCTGAAGAAGGTATTTAATAAATTTTACCTTCTCTTTGTCCCCAGTCACCCACTCTAGATTATTTTGTAAAGGGCCTAAGGCTCAGACTGGATCTTTTTACTATTAATATATTTGAATAATTTTTGGGGGTTGGTCCTGCTATCTTTTGCAATCTGTCGTTCGTTTTTAATTTTTGCGACCTTTATTTTCTTTTTGCATATTCTGTTATATTATTTGTAATGTTTAAAGGATGATAGCGTTCCTTCATTTTTATATTTAATAAAAATTCTTTTCTTATTATCTATAGCTTTTTTAACTTTGGCCGTAAGCCACATAGGTTTGATATTTAGCCTTTTAAACTTGTTACCCCTGGGAATATATTTTGCAGTGTGTTGACATACAGTCTTTTTGAAGAACTCCCATTTCTGTGTTGTGTCCATTGATGCCAATATTCCCTCACAGTCTATGTCTTGGACAGCAGCTCTCAGCCTTGGAAAATTAGCTCTCTTAAAATTGAGCTTTTTTATTTTTCACGTATGTGTCTGCTGTTTTACAGCTAACAATGAATGAATTCATGTTATGGTCACTGCTAACCAGATGTTCTTTTATATGGGCATTCATAATAAACTCTGCATGGTTTGAGATTACCAGGTCCAGCAGAGCATCATTCCAAGTTGGGGCCTCTATGAACTGTACCATAAAATGTTTCTGTAGTAGGTTTAAAATTGTTTGCTCTTTTAACTGTTCCTGCAGTACCATTACGCCAGTCAATTTCCTGGTAGTTAAAATCCCCCATTATTATCACTGTCCCAACCCTTGCAGCCCTTTTGATCTGTGCAAGGAGCTGAGTCTCCACCTCCTCATTAACACTAGGAGGCCTATAACAAACTCCATTGATTACCTTTGTAGTACGCACCCCCATGTTCTGTTCCGCCCATAATGCTTCAGCCTCATCACACTCCATCAACTAGGTCCTTTCACACTCGCTTGGGGATCACTTCTCACATAGAGACAGACACCACCACCTTTCCTATTTAACTTGTCTTTCCAAAAGAGAACATAGCCAGGAATATTAATGGTCAAGTCATATGAAAAATGAAGGCAAGATTCAGCAATACCAATTAAATCATAGTTCTCTTCATGCACCAAAGCTTCCAACTCATCTATTTTGCTTGGCAGACTTCTGGCATTGGTGAACAAATACTTTAATTCATTGACACCTTATGCACAAGAATTTTGCATATTATTTATTTATTTTCATACAAATGGTACCAATTCCTCCCACCAATAAGTACTGACCCTGTCTGATCTAACGACTCCGTTATAATCTAATTCTCCCTCCCCCCTCGATCCTAGTTTAAATACCCTCCAGCCTTCCCATAAACCTCTCCCTCAGTACAGCAGACCCCCTTCCATTTAGGTGTAAACCATCTCTAGCATATAGGTTGCACCCCAATGAAAAGTCAGCCCAGTGCTCTAGAAACCCAAGTCCTTCCCTCTTACACCAGGTCTTTAGCCATCCATTGAGTTCTCTAATCTCTTGCTGTCTTTCCTGAGTTGCGCATGGCACCAGTAATATTTCAGAGAATATCACCTTGGAGGTCCTTACCTTCAACTGGCAGCCTACAGTGTACATTGAAACAGTGAAAAATTGGGAAAAACACTTCTAAAAGCAAATGCCCACAAACTCTTAGACTCTTGTGCAATACGAGCTATAATGAACATTTTTTATGCTGCTTTTTCTGCTAGAGGTTCTGGCATTATTTCGCCTAGTGTGCATGGACCCTTACTGGTTAAAGTGATAGTAAAGTCTTGTTTAAAAAAAATAAAAATAAATAATAAACATGTCATACTTATCTGCATTTGCACAGAGCAACCCTGATCCTCCTCTTCTAGGGTCCCCCGCCAGCGCTCCTGGCCCCTCCCTCCTGTTGGGTGCCCCCACAGCAAGCAGTTTGCCAAGGGGGACACCAGCGCAGGTGTGCTCCCAATAGTGTCCATTCACACACAGAGCTGTGGCTTGGCCCCACCCCTTCCTCTCCTGATTGGCTCACTGGCTGTGATTGAGGAGCCAATGACTCCCGCTCCTGCCTCAGCCAATCAGGAGTGAAAGTCACGGGAGAACCAAGGCTCTCATGGACATCACTGGATCAGGATGGGGCTCAGGTAAGTGTTAAGGGGGTGCTGGGAGGGCTGCTACACACAGAAGGTTTTTTTACCTTCATGCATAGAATGCATGAAGGTAAGAAACCGTGAGCCTTCAGAACCACTTCAAGAGTTTAGTTGTTGACAGGTTCACTTTAATGCAAGGTCCCGTCTGATTTCATTTCCAGTGGCTAAAATAAGTTGAAGCCATTGCAGTTTGTGCTGTCTTATTAAATGGCTTTGACTGCGATACTTACATATTGTTTATTACTTTAACATTTTATTTGTGAAAAACAAGGCTCGTTTTATTGCATTGTCTCTTACTGTTGTGAGCAATCTATAACTTACTCTTTGGCTTGCAGGAAAATTAAAGTATGGGACCTTGTGGCTGCTTTAGATCCTCGTGCTCCCGCAGGGACACTTTGTCTGCGGACACTTGTGGTAAGTACACAGAGATTTGTTGTGCCTCTTGCTCAGAACTAAAGTATTTAAACTGCGTTCTTTTATATAGCACAAGTGTATCTTGGTTATTTAAAACATTATTAGGGTATTTATAAGGGCAGATTATTGTGTAGTTTTGTTTGTCGTCTTTTGGGAAATCCTACCAGCTTTTACATACTGGTAATAGAAATAAAATTAGTAATCCAATATTAGCAAAACGTTATTGAAGACCCCACACTTGCCGACCTGATCCATAGTTTTATTTTTTAAAGGTGACATTGCAACAACGGAGGGAAAATCAGATTCCTTCTACTTTGAAGAAGTATATCTTGATGCACAAAACTATTATTGTTGGGATTTTGTCTCTGGGTGGAGTGAGGAATCTTTTTAAAAAAATCTTAGGATAAGATCAAAATACAGGATCTCGCTTCCTTTTGCTCTTATTGGCTTCGGACAATAATGAAGAGCCTTCAGAAGGAAGGAAAGAAACTGTCTCCTCTGTGATGTTCACAAACAACCAAAGGATTTCATAGCAACACTTACCAGTCAGCCTGCAAAGCAACCAATTTGGCCTTAACAGTTTGCATTAAAAACCATCTGTTTTCCAGGCTGGCTGGCAAGTGTTGTTTAGAAATCCTTTGGTTGTTTGCAATGTGCATTGTCCTTCCATGTGCACCTTACCTCTAAGGCTGGTTATAGGTTGGGACTGTTGCCATTTTTTGTGTAGTCCCCTGTGATGATGCCAGCAGACTTTTACAAAGAACTCTGTTTAGTAAAGCAACTAGGGCTGAGTAGTTCTAATTTCTTAATAGACTTACAAAATTGGTAATATTTCAACAGTGCTTGAGTTTCAGACATGATGCTTTCACATTTTATACATAGCGTAGTGCCCCACTTGGGTCTCTGTGATAAATTAAACTCCACTTGCTATCCACAACCCAAAATGAAGAGTGAAAACAAAACGTTTCCCATCTTCATTATTCTTCTGTGCTCAAACTCTGCCTTAAAGGGTTAGTTCAACTTAAATAATGAATCAAAATGAATAGGTGAACGAACAACCCGCACCATCCAGCTTCCCCCAGTATCCACTGTACTTGCCTCCATAGGTGTTGAGCTGTGAGTGCTCACCCAGCCATTATAGTGACCTGGAGAACTGAAAGTCCTACTCTTCTCCCCCCTTCTTTCTGTAGGGTTTTCGGGACGGATCAGAGTGATTCTGATTTATCATTGCTGGTACAGAGAATCATTCTGATCCTTTCTGGAAGCCTTGCAGAAAGAAGTGGGAGAAAAGTAGGAATTTAAAATCTCTGGACCACTACACTGGCTGCGTTGTCCCTGATAGTTCATCACCCATGAAGGTAGGTACAGCGGGGATCAGGACGGCGTAGGGTGGTCACTTTTTTATTTTTTCTGAGAAGCTGAACTTACACTTTAATATTTAATTTAATATTAAGATAAGTGTTGTATTCTTTTTATGCAAAAAAAAGCAGTACAGTTACACATGTATCAAAATAATGATTAGAATCTAAAGGTGTAATTATATAACAATCAAAGGGTACAAATTAAATTTATAACACACCGTAACATATATGTGTGTGTGTGTGTGTGTGTGTATATGTATGTATATATATATATATATATATATATATATATGTATACACACACACACGGTGTGGTGTGTGTTTGGTTGTTTAATATGTTGTCTCGTGACTAAATCCACCATAAAGTACTATACTAAGTGTACAGTAAGTTATAGATTGGGCAGTCAAACAGGGGATATATGTAATATCACTAAGGGTGGGATAAGTGCTTTTATTATAAACTGTCAGGATCTTTAAATGTTGATATACACTCACCAGCCACTGTATTATTAGGTACACCTTGCTAGTACCTGGGTTGGACCCCCTTTTACCTTCAGAACTGCCTTAATTCTTTATGGTATAGATTCAACAAGGTGTTGGAAACATTCCTCACAGTTTTTGGTCCATATTAACATGATAGCATCACACAGTTGCTGCAGATTTCTCAGCTGCACATCAACAATGCGAATCTCGCATTCCACCTTATCCCAAAGGTGCTCTATTGGATCGAGATCTGGTGACTGTGGAGGCCATTAGAGTACAGTTAACTTGTTGTCACGTTCAAGAAACCAGTTTGAGATGATTCGAGCTTTGTGACATGATGCATTATCGAGCTTTGTGAAGTAGCCATCAGAAGATGGGTACACTGTATTCCTAAATGGATGGACATGGTCAGCAACAATACTCAGGTAGGCGTTTAAACAATGCTCAATTGGTACTAAGGGGACCTAAGTGTGCCAGGAAAATATCCCCCACACCATTACACCACCACCACCATCCTGAACCGCTGATACAAGGCAGGGTGGATCCATGCTTTCATGTTGTTTACGCCAAAGTCTGACCCTACCATCTGAATGTTGCAGCTGAAATGATCAGACCAGGCAATGTTTTTCCAATGTTCTATTGTTCAATTTTGGTGAGTCTGTGTGATTTGCAGCCTCCCCTTTCCTCTTCTCAGCTGACAAGAGTGGCACATGGTGCAGTGTTCTGCTGATGTAGCCCATCTGCTTCAAGGTTCGACATGTTGTGTGGTCAGAGATGGTATTCTGCATAGCTTGTTTTTTTTTGTTTTTGAGTTACTGTTGCATTTCTATCATCTGGAAGCAGTCTGCCCATTCTCCTCTGACATCAAGAAGGCATTTTTGTCCACACAACTGCCTCTCACTGCATATGTTCTATTTTTCTGACCATTCTCTGTAAACCCTAGACTTTGTTGTGCGTGAAAATCCCAGTAGATCAACAGTTTTTGAAACAGACAATGCCTGACTGGCACCAACAACCATGCCATGTTCAAAGTCACTTAAATCCCCTTTTTTCTCCATTTTAATGGTCAGTTTGAACTTCAGCAATTAGTCTTCACCACATCTAGATGCCTAAAGGCATTGAGTTGCTGCCATGTGATTGGCTGATTAGCAATTTGTGTTACCAAGCAATTGAACAGGTGTACCTAATAAAGAGGCCGACACGTGTATATTGGTTGAGTAGAATAAGAGGATGAACATAGACCTTTGAAGTCACATACATTCCCCTGCCCTTTATATTGCCAATTGGCCACTTAACCATTTTCAACACCTATACATCCCTCATCAGAGCTATGGGCTTAATAATTCAGCAATAATTTAGCTAGTTCTGAAAATGAAGTAATTTTGTTTATTTCTTACAAACAATCAATAATTCTTTCATTTCTACAAAAATTATTTTATTTTCCATGTATTCTTACAAAAATACAAAGAAATAAAAAGATTATTTCAATTTGACCAATGTTTGTTTTAAACTCACTAAAGTTAATGTAAGTTTTACAAATGCGTAAAAGTGTATTCTGTCATTTTGTCTTGCTTGTAATGACATCAAAATGAAAAAAGTTTTTACAACTCAAAGGATTTTTTATTAGATTTTAATACAATGCTGCAAAACAATGAGAAATACATTAGGGCTGATTAGTTAAGAAGTGTTAAGAAAGGTTTAAAAAAAGTGTTTGGTTTTTTTTTGGTTTTTTTTGCAAGGTTATTAGAACTTGACAATAAGTGCCAGTCAGTGCACATTCCTTTGTACATGTGAAAAGAACTAATAATATTGTTACCCTGTATTAGGAAACAAAGCCTGCAAACATTGTTTTCAGCCTTTGTTTCTGCAATAGCTGCTATTGGCCCTCCTGACACCTAGCCCAGGACCTGACTGTCAATTCATAAAGCAATTTCACCAATCAGAGGGCTGACAACAGGAGAGGGAATCCTGAGTATATGAGGTATATTTAAGGAACATGGATTACTTTATTTTTTTTTTCCTTTTAACTGCTTAAAATTCACTGCTCAAAAAAAATTAAAGGAACGCTTTTAAAACACATCAGATCTCAATAGGGAAAAATATAATGCTGGATATCTATACAGACTGGGTAAAGTGTTAGAAACGTAAGGATACCCCATTGTTTGATGGAAATGAAAATTATCAACCTACTGAGGACTGAATTCAAAGACACCCCGAAAATCAAAGTGAAAAAAAGATGCAGCAGGCTAGTCCATTTTGCTGAAATTTCATTGCAGCAACTCAAAATGGTACTCCGTAGTTTGTATGGCCCCCACGTGCTTGTATGCATGCCTGACAATGTTGGGGCATTCTCCTAATGAAATGACAGATGGTGTCCTGGGGTATTTCCTCCCAGATCTGGATCAAGGCATCACTGAGCTCCTGGACAGTCTGAGGTGCAACCTGGCGGAGTCGGATGGACCAAAACATGATATCCCAGAGGTGTTCTATTGGAATTAGTTCAGGTGAGCGTTGGGACCATTCAATGGTTTCAACTCCTTCATCTTCCAGAAACTGCCTTTATACTTTCGCCACATGAGGCCGGGCATTGTCGTGCACTAGGAAGAACCCAGGACCCACTGCACCAGCATAGGCTCTGACAATGGGTCCAAGGATTTCAACCCGATACCTATTGACAGTCAGGGTGCCATTGTCTAGCCTGTAGAGGTCTGTGTGTCCCTCCATGGATATGCCTCCCCAGACCATCACTGACCCACCACCAAACGGTCATGCTGAACGATGTTACAGGCAGCATAACATTCTCCACGGCTTCTCCAGACCCTTTCACGTCTCTCATGTGCTCTCATCTGTGAAAAGCACAGGGCACCAGCTGCGAGCCTGCCAATTCTGGTGTTTAATTGCAAATGCCAATCAAGCTGTATGGGCAGTGAGCACAGGGCCCACTAGAGGACGTCGGGCCCTCAGGCCACCCTCATGAAGCCTGTTTTTGATTGTTTGGTCAGAGACATTCACACCAGTGGCCTGCTGGAGGTCATTTTGTAGGGCTCTGGCAGTGCTCATCCTGTTCCTCCTTGCACAAAGAAGCAGATACCGGTCCTGCTAATGGGTTAAGAACCTTCTACGGCCCTTTCCAACTCTCCTAGAGTAACTGCCTGTCTCCTGGAATATCGTCCATGCTCTTGAGACTGTGCTGGGAGACACAGCAAACCTTCTGGCAATGACACGTATTGATGTGCCATCCTGGAGGAGTTGGACTGCCTGTGCAAACTCTGTAGGGTCCAGGTATCTCCTCATGCTACCAGTGGTGACACTGAGCCTAGCCAAATACAAAACTAGTGAAAAACAGAAAAGTTGAGTAGGGAAAAAAATGTCTGTGACCTCCACCTATAAAACCATTCCTGTTTTGGGGGTTGTTTTATTGTTGCCCACTTAGTGCACCTATTGTTAATTTCATTAACGCCAAAGCAGCAGAAACTGATTAACAACCCCCTCTGTTACTTAACTGACCAGATCAATATTTTAATTGACTTGATACTATACTCTGACTAAAAAGTGTTCCTTTAATTTTTTTGAGCAGTGTATTTTAGGTTATTGTACTTTTTAAGAAGGACCAGCCAGCGAATTAGAAATACGCACAACTTGAAAAGGCAGATTTTTAGTATCCAGCACCAAGCATAAGCCTTTCAATTTGTTTGTGAAGTTGATGTGAAACAAGATCTGTGTAATTGAGGTCTCATCCAGGCACCATTATTTTCCCTCTTGGCAAAATTTCACTGCGGCCTGTTAAATAGAAGCACACTTAAAAGAATCGGAGCTGTGGTTTGTGTATGGTTGTGACCACAGGAGATCAGAATTGAGAGCTCTACCATTATGGCCATCCAAAATTAATCTTGGCTTAGTACCAGGAACGGAATAGCCTCCTATAGCTTCTGTTCAAATTGCAAGCAGTAGGAGAAGGTTCATAGTTCATGGATGTTGATTGCAGGCTCATTTGTCTTCTCTTTTGCTTTCTGTAAGACATTATAATGTCTGGCTGAATTAGTGTGGTAATGTGATGACTGCCGCACGCTGTTTTAAAGGGACAGTAAACCTAAATTACCACTTGGTTTATATGATAGAGCAATGCATAACCTTTAAAAGTTTCAAAATTAATGATAATTGACATGAAGGGAATTTTCCTACAGAGAAATGGCCTTTCTGACTAATGATCACAGTGAGCAATGTAGTTGACTGATCCCAATAAGTTGACAATACACTTAAAAGAATAGTCCAGTATCAGCTATTGATGCAACTGGTGACAGACCTGGCTGTTATCTGCCTTACAAAATGTCATCTTTTATATATGGGAACTATCATGGTGTCTATATACAATAGAAGTGTATGGAAACACTAAATCTATTTGTTAACATGTCTGGCATCATGTCTTAAAGCAAGGTTCAGACTTTCAAGTCCTGAGCTGCTAGCCAGGCCTTAAGAGTTACTCGCCAACAGTTGCCCCACCCAACCCCTACCTTGCCCCGCCCCTAAACACGCCCTCATAAATTATCTCATGAAATGACACCAATGTGTTATGCAAAATTAAAGGTATAAAAATAAATATTAACAACTTCTTTAACAATATTAACTGCTTTCCCTCCGCCCTATAGCAGAAATACTGCTACGGAGCGGCAGGGGTGCACAAAATCACATGTATATATACACAATTTTGCATTTCCGGGGAGGGGGCGTGTGAGCCCTACCCGCGCCGCTATACGCAGCCTCGGCTGTCAGTCACCGGGTCCCAGCCAGAGATTACTCGCTGGCGCCCGGTGATCACTGAGCATTCCTGACGGGGGGATAGAACTATATGTAAACAATACAGTTCTCTCCCATCAGCTCCGGCACACTGCTTTGTATGGCTCTGCATAGCAAAGCCATACAAGGCAGTGTGCTTACAGTTGAAAGCATAGACACAGCTTACTGTGAAACAGCACACAGTTAACCCTCTGATCGCCCCCACATATTAACCCCTTCCTGCCCGGTGCCATTAGTACAGTGCTTTTTATTAGCGATGATCACTTTATTGAAGTCACTGTGGATGTCAGTAATACCAAGTCAGTTCCCCCCCAGTGTCAGAATGCTCACCGCAGTCCTGCTATAAGTCGCCGATTGCCACCATTACTAGTAAAAAAAAAAAATTGCAGTATCTATACCGCCATTTGTAAACGCTAGAACTTTCACAAAAACCAATTAATTTACATGTATTAGGATTTTTTTTTTTTTTTAGCAAAGACGTAGCAGAATACATTTTGGCCTAAATTTATGACGCAATTTGATTTTTTTCTGGACATGTTTAATAGCAAAAAGTAAAAAATATTGTGTTTTTTTTCTTTTCCAAATTGTCAATTCTTTTTGTCTTTTATTATAGCACAAAAAATAAAAAACGCACAGGTGATCAAATACCACCAAAAGAAAGTTCTATTCATGGGAAAAAAAAGAATGTAAATTTAATTTGGCTGCAGCGTTGCAAGACTGCGCAATTGTCAGTTAAAGTAATGCAGCACTGTAATGCAAAAAATTGCTTGGTCAGGAAGGGAGGTAAATCCTCTGGAGGACAAGCGGTTAACAAAAACCAATGTAATCACGGAGGGAGGGGAGGGGAGGAAGGAAGAAAGGTCGGACTCACATGGCTCAGTCAGAAGCATCACAGGGCTGCTGGCTGCTCTGTATACTATTCTCCACCCACACATCCTCTTCTGAGAGGCTGCACGGAATGGAGTGGGAGGAGACAGAGCAGATCCAGCCTCTCTGCACTCCTATTGGTGCGGAGGATGGGGGAGAGACTGGGCACTGAGGAGCACATGGGGGGGTGCCAGAAAGAAAGGGACATCTGATGGATGGTGGGGGATGATCGGTGCAGCAGTGGGGGCAGTTACAAGCACTGATCTTCCTGTATGGCTTTCAGTGAAGCCACTTCTCCTCTCACTCACGTGGCTTTTAGCTGCTTCATTGAAAACCATACAGGGAGATTGGTGCTTGTAACTGCCCCGACCATCGGCCTTTCTCGCCCCTACGTAATTTCCACTTGCCAATTGCGAGCAGGCGAGTGGAATTTTGAGGGTTGTCTTAAAGTATGCAGTGTTCCTGACCAAATAATTTTTGTTGCAAAGTTTCTCACATGCAAATCCTGTCAGTAACAGCACACTCTGTTACAGACTGACAGCTCTATGCCACTGCCTTGCAATTAGCAACAGCATTGTCAGTCTGCCCTGCCAGCTACCTCAGATTTTATCAAATAGGCAGCCCATGGACCAGTAGCTTACATAGCAGGCTGACAACACTGCTGCTAATTGTAAAGCTCAGCATTGTCTATCTATAGTAAGTGCTGGTATTGACACACCTCCAGGTAGGAAACTTGGTAACTGATTCATGAAAAAAAATTGATAAAACTGTATACAGTGAGGCATGTTGCTGAAAAATAGATTTAGGCTAGATTTTTTGTTTTTTAATAAATGACTTGTCAAAAACTGTTGTGTTTTTATTCACTTTTTTTTTAGTGAATGAGTAGAGGTACTATGTACCCCATACTCATTCACATGGGCAGAGGCAGGATTTGGGGGCTCTCCCACAGACCCCCACAGCTCCTGGTTGTGGAGAAGTGGCCCTTTTCCTCAACATGGGGACAAGGTGCTTAGGGTGGGAGACCCCTGCCCCAAAGCACCTCCATCCCCCCCCCCCCCCCAATCCTTTCCTAGGCTGCATGCTCAGATAAGGGTCTGGTATAGATTTTTGGGGCCCACGCCTTTTTTTTTTTTTTCTATTTTGGCGTGGGGTTTCCCTTGAAATCCATAGATACCAGACCCTGGTAAGGATTGAGGCTGGGGGAACCTCATGCTGTTTTTTTCCTGATTTATTTTATTTTTTTTAATTTCCAGCAATAGGTAGGTTTGTTTATATTCCCCGCTGACAGCTGATGACTCATTGGTTGTTAAGAATGCGGCGGCCGTTCGTTCTTTACCAACCATGTTGTTTACTAGTTGTTAAGGATGCTGGTGGCCGCACACTCCTTGACAACTATGTCCTTTACTGGCTGTTAAGGATGCCGGAGGCCGCCCGCTCCTTAACATCCATCTAAAGTCACACAAAGCACACAGTGCAAAATACATATAAAATGTAAAAAAAAGCATAAAAAAACGGGTGTTCAAAAATGCAAAATGCGCCAGAAAACGCATCAACTGCAATCTGCATAGAAGTAAACCTAGAGTTAGGTTGTTGAACATTGTTGCTAACTGAAATCTATAGTTTACCGGGTTTTCCTTTCTAATGATTCTGTCATATTTGAGTTTGACTGTATTTTTGTTATTTATCAGGAACATTCAGGAAGAGTTTTCCGACTACAGTTTGATGAATTCCAGATAGTCAGCAGTTCTCACGATGACACTATTCTCATCTGGGATTTTCTAAATGACCCAGCGGCACATGCGGAGTCCACCCGTTCACCCTCTAGAACATACACCTACATCTCCAGATAAATGACACTAAATAGTACCTCACAAATTGCACAGGTAAGTCGTGTATCTTATGCCGCCATAGTCATAGCTGACCGTATAACATCCTTTACAATATCTTAGCAAAGCCATGCCTTGTCTTTTTTTCAGTGTTTGAAGAACAGATAGATGGATCCCTCTGTAAAGATTATTGACTTCTATACAGATGTTCATTACTGGGTGGGCATGGTTCTGCTCTGCAGGGTTCATGAGAAATTGTTGAAGTTGTCCATAGATAGTGGTTGGGTGAATGGATCAGGCATTTTTTTTTTTTTTTTCAAAAAATAGTTGTGATCTAAGCATGCATTCTTGAAGCAACTAAGCATGCACATTTATGTTGGTAAAATAGGATATGGAACATTTAAATAATAAAATTTCCAATGCTGTCTTAATCCCAGATAAATATTAGTGATCTGCACAGCTGATTGCTAGTTCTCATAAGATTTCTCTTATAAAAAGTGTAAGGGGTGGCCTGTTGGTTCGCATAGACACAAGTGATCCATATTCTCTTGAACTGGAAAAAATTGAAAGATTAGAGAAATGACCATTCCATACTTGAGGCACTTCTTGTGCGTTGACTTTTGCCGCAACCCATCTTCACCTGCCAAATTTAGTGTTTTTAATGTAGGATTGACCTCTGCATGACCAGAATGAGCATTTAATATTTTTCATTGCTCTTTTCTATCATTTAGAAGGGAAATATTTACCTTAATTTTTCCAGTAAGTATAGGGCCATCTCAAAAACAATAGTATCAGAGCAGGATCAATCAGTTGGAACACTGAGAATTTATAACTCTTGATAATTTTTTGATATTCCAACACACACAAAGAAATGTCAATAAAAAGTGCAGGAGAATTGTGCTTTTCAGATATGGTTACATTTTGTATGTTGTCATGACAGAACCATAGCCACCTAACATATACACTGCACCTTCCACACTATCTATCCAAACTCTCTGCAATTTGTTTTAATAATGTAAGGGCTGCTGTTGTAAGGGCTCATGTACACTGCAGCTGATAAACTCATGTTTAGGAACTGTTCAGCATTTTTTTCAGCAGCCCCTGAACTCTCCCTAATGTTTTCCTCTATCCATGTACAGATCTTCCTTTTACAGTCGTTTACAGGCATTTGAGTTTACAGCACTTTTTTTTTATCTCAGAAAACTTGCGTTCAGCAGTCGATTTTATCAGCATTTCAAACACAAAATGCTTGTAAATGCGGCTAAACACTGCAAATCACATTTATAAGCGTTTGCGTTTTAACTCTTCCAGTTCCTGATGCTGTCCAGAGCCTTTTTTTCATCATGAAAAATACATGCAAACCGTTTTCCCGGTACTCAAATGGACCTGGTACACCATATTTTGATGTTTTGCATGAAATAAAGTATGTTAGACACCGCTGCAATAATTTCTGCACATAAATGGGCTGGAACACATCCAAACACCACAAAAAAAGACAGCTAATCTCAACAAATACTGCTCTCTCTATTTCTCTCAAAATGTCTGAAATAGTTAATTATTTACAGTTTTTCAGTGCTTTCTGGGCATTTTGGAAGGTCTGTTGAGGTTCTCTTAAAAAACGCTTTTAAACGCAAATGCTCATAAACGTGCATAAACGCGGTATGCAAACGCGGCTAAACAGACATTTTTTTATCTATGTTTCCCAGAAGTCAGTTTCCGTCATTCAGAAGTGTCTCGTGTACATGGGGCCTTAGGTTGCCCTCATTTCAGGCATGCCCCTCTGTTGTAACTAATACATAAAGCTCTTTTAATGTCAGCTGAAATATCAGTATGGGCCAGCATGTCACAGACCCCGTGTCCTTGTGTCCTGAGTGTATGTCAATAGAGCATGGTACAGGAGTAAATATACATTAACCAATTATCATTTGAGCGTGTAAGTCTTTGAAAACAATGCTTTCTTCTTTTCATGTGCGCCTAAAGAGAAAACTGAGTGTTTTTGAAAACTTGAATTCCAAAATATTTTAAGCTATCCAAGGAATGTTATTACCTAGATTTGTGAGTTTCCCACTGCTACCTATGACTTTGCTTCTAATTGTATAATATTGTATAATACTTAAAGCGGTTGTACACCCTTACTTATACCCTGTGATGTGACTGGCCTCAGATGATACACAGAGATTAAATAAATCTTCCTACATGAGATGTACCTGTTTATCTATAGCCATCTTTGCCCTACTTCCATGTAACGTTTCTATGTTAAAGTACAAAACTTATACAGGATCTCTCAGCTTTGAAATGCAGGGGGTGGAGAGCTAAGTTACATCAGTGAGGATAGCTGATTGGAGGGAAGGGACACATCTGTCTTTACACAGCACTAAGGCTGTCAATCACATACTGTGCCCTCCCGTCACCATTTTTTTTTTGGTGTCAGGAAAACTTGTCAGAAGTGACTCTTATAGCAGAGATAATTAATACCCTGGATTGAGAAAAGTACACACTATAGAGGGATATGCTATTCGTATTTCATATCTGAGATTTACAACCACATTAAATGCTGTGTGGTTTGCTTCCTGACAGTCCAATAATTTTTTTCCTTTTATTTAATGCAGGACTTTATTTGAAAAATCTGATAACTGAATCACCTGTGAATGCCGGGAATATGAACTATTTACTTGACCAGTATTTGATAAAAAGGAGAACCCATTTGTCTTGACACACCCTGGATGATGCAATCAGACAGCTGGAAGCAGCCCTAGCCAAAGTGTGCAGCAGACTGCTGGAGTGCTGCTATCAGAAGAGTTTTTTTTTCATTTTAACTCCTTCATTGCTACAGGGGTTTGCTGATTATTACATAGCTAGGGGCTTGCACAATCCTGTGTCAGTGACAGTGGTTACGTTTAACAAACTGTTGCAGAGTCGGAAACAAAGACTGTACCGGTCACAGATTCTTTAAATATATTTAATTGTCTTGCCAGAATGTCAGTTGCTTTGCAATAAGCAAAAGAACAATTTCCACTGTGTCCCATGCTCACGCTGCTTTCAGATGTGGTTATATTTGGAAATTTGCTGAACTTTTGCAAATACTTCTAACGATAAACAGGAATTTTATTTTTTTTCTTTAAAAAAAAAACAAATACGTTACAAGCCCCCGTAGTGAATGAAAATGTTTTACCATAGTAAGCATGGAAAACATGTTTTGCCTTTTTTTTTAAATTATTATTTTTATTTCATTTTTTATTCTTTAGTGTTCGCTTGTATGTTCACTTTTATTTTTTTTTTTTTTTTTGCATTGTAACAGATCAAGCATTGTAGATTCCTGTATAGTTATGTATGGGTCATTAAAACCTTAGCGTAAGAAAAATGAAATAAACGGATTAGACATTTTATTATTGCATAGGGGAAAATCACTTTTAAGACCCTTTCATTATGTGTATGTGTGTTCATTTGTACTATTAGTGAAGGATTTTTTTTTAACTTCCTTATTTGCTTGAGTGGTTTGCATGGTGTCCATTTATGAGTCATGATTTCATTGTAATTGTTCTGTTGTCAGTCACTACAAAAGCAGCATCAAGCTTGTCACAACCTTGACATCTATTTTTATGATTTCACAGGTTCAGTAAATAATACAGAGTAACTTACTAACATAAAACCATCACTAAGAAAAAAAAAAAATCTAAATTCTAAATCTGTAGCCCTGACTTTTTAGGCTAGCTAAAAAGCTGTGATAAATACCTTTTTTGTATAATGTCTATGATTTAAACTTTGTTGTATACTGTTGTATACATTTTTGCAACACCTTTTTTTTTTTTTTTTTTTTCCGTGATTTTGCGAAAAAGAAAATTCTAGCTTACAGATAATGCATTTTTGTGGCTGGTTGGCACACATTTGGTTCGATATTTTGCACTGGTCCACTGGGTTTGGGCATCCGGCAGTGTAGGCTTTGCACAGCTATCAAGACTTTGTTATCCAAACACGATATGCAGCGATGCTGTTGACCAAACTCACTAATCAATCACTGAGCACCAAATCTTCATAACTATTTACATCTTTTAAAATACTGCGAAGTAAAAAAACTACTTTTATTGTAGGAATACTTGGGAAAGTTTTACTAAGCATGTTTCTGTAGTCTCTTCGATGAGATAATTGTTTCAGCTCCAGATTACAGTCAGTTTCAAAATGTCACTATAGCATATGTATGTATGTCAGCTGTACAGCCAGCACATAATCGGATACATGAATTATGCCAGATACCTACTTATTTGCTATAGATGAGTCCAAAGATGATATTCATAGAAAAAAAAACAGCAATTCATATGCAGACTAATTTACCTTTATTGTTAAATTAACAGTTGAGCATTTTTAAAAAGAAAGGAATAATATTGATGTAAAGAAATTGGAGCTAACCAATGTATCACAAGTTTTATCTCTCTACAAATTGCCAATTGAGGAACCATACTTAAAAATACTACAACAATATTTATAACATATATTTGCAAGATAATTCATCTGATTTACTATAGAAGTTAAAAAATTCACACAATTTCAATTATTCAGTCTTTTGCAAATAGAACTACAATTATATTTTCATGATTGGATAAATGAAGTGAATATTTACACAATTCTCAATGCCTTTAATAAATCACCCTTGTGGTTTGAAGTGTTGCAAGCAGTTCACTGCAAAACCTTTTTGTTTTTAGTTTTTTTTTTATCAAAATACCTTCCTACTCTAAGTTGGTTTCATTCTCTCTATAATATGGTTTACTACGTATCTTTCCTTTAACTCTAAAATTCACAAAATGTTTTGTATTCAACCAAGTCTGAACCCCACAGCCGTTCATTAGGTTCTGATTTACTATTTATGCCTCACACTGCACTTTTGATTCATACATGTGAGACTACAGAGTTAAAAAGTGGAGAATTGCAAAAAGAAAGGTGAGAAATAGGAAATCTAAAATCATTCTTGACATCTGTAATAAAGCTTACATGAATTAAGTATAAGGTACATGAAGTCTTTTTTTTTTTTT